GGCAGCTGCACTTCATCGACAACACCACCTTCTTCTGCCAGACGGGCTGCGCCTTCTCCCTGCACCACCTGCCCTACTTCTACACCCTCTTCCACGTGTGCGGCTCTGTGCCCCAGCACATGCGGTGCGCCTGCTGTGGCCATAACTGGGCCCGGATCCTGTGTGCCTCCAAGGACGGCCTGCTGCACTTCCTGTCTCCCGTGACGGGGGAGCTCCTGGCGGTCACGTGGCCTCTGCAAGTCATGGAGAAGGCCAAGGTGTGGGCCTATGACTCCGCCAGCGAGGAGCTCTTCGTGGCAACCCACAGTCCGGAGGTGCTGGTGTTCGATGCCACACGCTCCCCTTGCACAGTCAAGTACCTCCTGTGTACGTCAGTAAAACCCGGGGACAGAGTGCGATGTCTGGCCTACGCGCAGTCCCGTTTGGGCAAGGGCCTGGAAGGACTGGTCTTCTGCGGCCATGACAGTGGCGTCGTGAGGGTCCTCTCCCAATACAGCTGCACGCGAGTGGAGAAGGCGCTGCATGCCGGGCCGGTGCTGGCGCTGTCCTGGAGGGACCCCAGAGGAGCCCCTGCTGTGCTCCTACGGCATCGACACCGTGTACTTGACGGAAGCCGTGCTTCAGGAGAACGCGGTAACCCTGGAGCCCATTATCAAAATCCTCTGTGGTTGCGCCCTAAAACACGTGATTCTCTTGCCAGACTCCGTGGGCGCCATCACTGAAAACCACTGCTGGCGTCTCTGGCACTTCCAAGATTTCACCACATCGTCGGGATTCAAACAGAGCTCCGTCTTTCAAGAGACAAAGAGCCTGCACCCGTGTGCCATCGTGTCCTTTGACGTCTGCCTCTCCCTGAAGCTCTTTGTCACGGGGGGTACTGATGGCAAAGTCCGCATCTGGAACTGCCAGGGTAGACTCCTGACTGAGCTGAAGTCAGCCTTGCAGTTTGGCCCGCTTTGCTTTGCCAACAACCGGGGCGACCTGCTTCTGGCCTTCAACCACAGCCTTTACATGGTATCTTGCTTAAAACTGCTCCCGCATGCAGAGCTGACTCTCCTCTCTAGCCTCGACGGTGCGGATGAAATACAGGAAGTGCCCAAGCCCTTTCTGCCCAGCTTCCTTTATTCATTCAAGACAGTATTTGTGCCCAAATTTGTGTACCTTGAACAAGGGCTGCAGGAATTCCAGGGACTCGCGGCCCTTGCTAACAAACGGGTCATCGCCTTTGACAACATCGTGCCTCACGTAGCAGAGGAAGAGAGACGGCTGTCCCCTGGGATTCAAGAGCAGCCCAAATTACACTTTGTGGAAAAGGAGAAGGACCCCAATTTGTCTTCCACTGACCTGACGTGGGCTCGGCCCCCACAAGCTGTTCCTGCTCAGTTGCAGGTCGCTGGCTGGGCCGGCCTTATGTAACTTCTTTGGTCAAAGGAGGCAATGGCCCATCACTCCTGACGGCTACATCCCCAATTCAGTGATCCGAGCCCGCCTCTGGCCAGAGGGCACCCCCGTTATACTATGCTGTGGTGTGGACCCAGCCTACAGAGGCAAGGACAAGGACATGAAGGAGATCTTCAGACAGGCACAGCTGCTAATGGCGACTCTAGCGAAGAAGAGCATCTCGGCGACTAAGCAGAGGTATAAGTTCATGTCTGCTCTACAAGCCTACTCTGCTATTCTTGAAAACCTGACAAAACGAAATTGGATAGGAAGACAATTCAGTGATGAATTTATAAATAACCTAATTGAGATCATCCTCAACCTCACAACTAGCTGTGCTGTGGAGAAATTCAGGAAATATATTAATGTCCTGGAAAAACTTTTTGCCCTTTATCAGATCCCTTCAGGGCTGCGGCTGGAGGCTGCCTGTCGCCTGCTGGAAGACACAGCCGACTGCAACCCACAGATCCGCGTGCTGAGCTGGGAGGGGCTCGAGCGGCTGGATATCACGAACCGCCTATTCACTGTCCCGCTGGCCATGGGGCTGATGGACTGTGACGACAATGTGCGGGATAAAGCCTTACAACATTTTATAAAGGTCACAGGCATCGACAATAAGACCATGCTGGTAGACCTGCTGAGGAAACAAGAAACTTTCCAAGAACTACAGTGAGTTAGTTGGGTGACAGCCTGGTCCTCTCCTGTGACTCCTAGTCTCCAACCTCCAAAACCGATTCCTTCTCCTGTCCCACAACATCTTCTATTCCTTTCTCCCACATTCCACATACTTTTTTTTTTTTTAAAGATTTATTTATCCGTACAGAACTGGGGTACAGGCCAGAGATGCGGAGGGTGAGAGGATTCACCAGAGACAGAGCAGGGTGCAGAACAGGCAGATGGATGAAGTACACTGCTGAGGGGAGCAGCGGGCGGGTCAGGAGAGGTCTGCCTCGCCATGTGGTCTCCTCCGGGGCAGGCGGGATCGAACTCATGCGGAAGTGGCTGTAGCTTCTTAGTGCAGTGCTTTAACCCGCTGCGCCACCAGGAGGGCCCCTATTCCACATACTTTTGCACCCAGTGCCTATCCCTAGACTTTTTACCTCAGCCCAGCCTGCCCTTTTACTCGCTTACTCCCTTAATTTCCTCACAACCAAAATCCACAAATCGTTCGATCCAAGGAGCATTTTCTGTCATCCTGACTACCCTGTTCCTTGCTCCTGATTCTTTTTCCTTTGTTTCACCTACTTTCTCCTAAATGGCTCCTATCCCTGCTTCTTGGATTGTCATTCCTCCTCTCTCTCCTCCTCCTTTTTCTTCATCTCTGAATTTTGCTGTCACTGGCTCAATATCACCTTTCTTTTCCATGACTTTTGTAGGCAGGAATTTATTGGAGAATCCTCTCTGGATCAACTGCTGGGGATTGAAGCTAAAGATATCCAACAGCTCGTTGTTCAGGTGGAACAATGCCTGAATGAAAACCTGACGCTGTCACACCCAGACCAGTGCTTTCTGAAGCAGCCACAGCTGTCAGGGCTGGTGAACTCAAGGTCCTTGGCAAACAAACACCTAAACATTTGTCACAACCTGAAAGGATAGAGAAATTAAAGTACAGAATGAGATATATTGAAGAAAAGAGCAGAAAACTGAGTATGTACGGGTAATATGTGGGGCCTATTTGGGATGAACCTCAGGGCCCCAAAGGAGCTAATAAAAAGCCCCAAAGGGTCAATAAAACCTCTCTTCCTTGGCTTTCTGGCTCGGCCTTTTCTCCTGGCCTCCGGCTTGTTCTGCCTCTCGTCGGGACATTTTCTTTTTGCCCCAGTCCCACTGGCTTCTGTCCTCAGTGACTTTATCTTTCCCAGCCCATTTCTCCCCACTCTCAGCTCGTTTTCCTTTGCCCACGGCCGGCTTGTCATCAGCTAAGTGGCCTCTCTGCTCAGAGGAAGATGGGATTAAAAACACATTAAGGCGGCTGGAAGCAGGAGAGCAACTTTCCAGAGACAATTTCCATAGGCTGAGCCGGCTGCTCCAAAACATGCCTTCAAAGGGACGTTTGAAAGGGGTGCACTTCTGCTTGCTGTAGGCCATCGTGGGACACCTCGCCCCCAACTTAAAGCTAAGTCACTCGGACGCATTGCAGCCCTGCGAGACTATTTTGAGTCCAGTGCACTTAAAAGAGCCGTCTGCAATCAGAAGAGAAGACAAAGAGAGCTGGCTACAGTCGCTACCTTCCCCGGGGCCACCAGCAGCTACCAAAAGCACTCAAGCCCCACGGAATCCCAGGTGGCCCCTCTCAGCTGAGGCCTACGGTCAGCAACAGGCCCCCCAGTTCTCCGCTGCCATCAAGGAGCTAGAGCACGGCCACCCAGTCAGAAAGGCTGCTGGTACAGCGGCCTATCCCTTGGGGATGAAGGACTTCAGAACCTGGAGGGAAAGGGAGGGACTCCCCAAATTTGCCAAGGCAAAGAAGAAATCACTCCCCATCACTGCACCCTTACTGCCAACCACCAAGAGTCAAGTCCCAGAGGCTATGGGCTGGCATCTCCTAGGGGAGCCCCCCAGGAGGGCACGGGCTCGGCAGCGCTCCCACGCCCTGCAGGAGATGGAGAGGCGCCATTTTGATCCCACTGCGAGAGACGTTTCTTTCACAAACGCCCATGCTTTGGTGGAAAAACAAACCCTGGCGCTGATGTTCCAGAAAGATCTCAGGGCTTTTAGGGGTAAAGGCAGACCCCGCGAGTTGCCCAAGTTAGAGAAGAAGACACAGCCCCTCGCTAAGGAGGAGGTGCCCCCGTGGGAGACCTTCGTGGCCCTGTACTACGTTTTGCGGACGCTGCAGGACCAGTACCCCAAGGACAGTGATTGGTGGATGCAACAGTTCCACCAGCTCATGGACCTGTACCAGCTGAAGTCCCCCCGAATCCAGAGGCTGCTACTAGAGTTGCTGCAGAGAAAGGAGGTTCAACCCCGAGGGAACATCTACAAAAAGGGTGCCCCAAGTAAGGGCCTGGCACTAGGCGAGCGGGTGTTCTACCGCCTGATCTGCGGTAGTGCCAGGGGCCCCGGGGGTCACTTTGAATTCCAGGATGTCATACCCCTGCCAGAGAAGAACAAAGTGCATGCTGTCCAGCCTGTGGTCATTGCCCACTATGGCTCCCTAGAACTTGCCTGGAAAAGCCTGCCGCAGATCAACCCTTACCCCCTCCCCCACCTCCCCCCCAGAAGGCCCCGTATGCCTGCGGGAAGCCTCTGATTTGGCCTATGTTAGAGCATTGGGGTCTTAATAGAAAATGAGTGTGGGCTACAGATTTTAAGCTTCTTACCTGCTCAGCATTTCTAGATAGGGCTAGAAAAGGACTTCACTCAGCCTGAGAAACCATCTAGACTATCTAATGAATAAAATGACATGTATATCATCTCTGGAAAAAATGCCCATGCAGGTCCTCTGCCTGCTTTTAATTGGGTTTTTTATTTTTTCCTACTGAGTTGCATGAGTTCTTTATATATTTTGGATGTTACCCCTATCACCTGTGAGATTTGCAAATATCACCCATTCCATTGGTTCACGTTCATCTTATAGATGGTCTCCCTTGCTGCACAGAAACTTGAGTTTGCTGTATTCTATTTTTGCTTCTGGTGCTTTGCTTTCAGTATCAAATCCAAAAAACGATGTCCTAGAGCTTACTTCCTATATTTTCATCAAGGAGTCTTGCTTGGTTCAAGCCCCTCATATATTTGAGCTGATGGGTGTATGTGGGGTAGATTCTGTGGCGTGGTTCACCGTTCTGCAGGGGGCTGTCCAGTTTTCTCAGCACCAGTTACCCTCTCCCCTTCAAATATTCCTGTCTCCTTTATTAATGGACTGACGGGTTAGCAGGATTATTTCTGGATTCTGTTCTGTTCATCTGCGTGGCAGTTTTTTGGCAAATATTGTTGCTTTTGAATGGAGAGGTCTTAAATGAGAAAATGGGGTAAATTCCTCTTTGTTAGTCAGAATTGGCCAATTTTTTCCCGTAGATTATCTCAGAGGACTCTAGTATGTACTTCTTGGAAAGAAATAATTTAACTCATTCTTATTAGTGGTTAATATTAGTTTACTAGATGTGGTTTAGATGTAGCTCATTGCTGCCTATTATAACCTCCTTGGCTCTTGGAGAAACGTAGAAAGTGAAGTTCCTTTCTACAAGTAACATAGATACACCCACTGTGGTTGGCGCAGAGATTACATCTAGAGGAGAGAGTTTAATACTCTCTCTGCTCTGATCATGGCTACATGGTCTTTAGACAGCCTCCTGGAGAAGGGGGTGATGTTGCAGTTCAGTGCAAAGCCATGTATTTCACTGGGTGACAAGAGACCCAGGTCGAGTTGTGTGGCTTCCAGAACTTACTGTTTTCAGCTTTCAAACACGCTTAGGAGGAAAAGCTTACCAAAATATATCTTACATTTAGCCTTTCCAAGAGGCTAAATGATCCTTGTTAAATGTTAAATCCTTTTTAGAGTTTTTTGGCTGGTTTCAAGTATATTATGATGAAGCAAGTATTAATTCCATCATCATGGTGATCTTTTAAAATCTACATGTAACAGTAGGAGCTGTTGTTTGCTTTTTTAAAAATATTGCTTTTTTTTAAAAAAAGTGGTCATAAAACAAAAAATTAAATGCAGTGATTTCAAGAGATTGATGGCAGGTGAATTTAAAGTATGGATAAATCTTTAAATTTTTTTCATTGCGCTTCAGTAGAGAGAGGCACAAGAGGAAAATAGCAAGCTCTCATATTATCTGTGTTGCTACTGAGGGAAAATGGTGGTGTTAGCCTGTGTGAATGTATAGCTTACAGCCCAAGTTCTGTTCTTGGAGGCATGTTGAAAATGTGGTTAAAGTTGACAGAGGAGGGCCCTCCCTGGTGGTGCAGCAGGTTAAAGCACAGCACTAAGAAGCTAAAGCTACTTCAGCATGAGTTCGATCCCCATCCCAGAGGTGACCCACATGGCGTGGCAGACCTCTCCTGACCTGCCTGCTGCTCCCCTCAGCAGTGTACTTCATCAGCTTGTTCTGCTCCCTACTCTGTCTCTGGTGAATCCTCTCACTGCCCCTGTACCTCTTGCCTGTACTCCAGTTCTGTATGCATAAATAAAATAAATCTTTTTTAAAAAAGTTGACGGAAGAGAGGACTAAAGTATGGATGCATATGATATATATACTGTATTGTTTATATCAAAAAATCAAAATGTTAATACAAATGGGTACAATTTCTTTCCTCCACTCTATGCCTTTATCTTTTAACTTTGTTAATTGGTGTAAATAGGGAGGAAAATCAACATAGGAGATTCAAGCAGGCATGAAAGAAATAAGGATTGTACTAAGGGAAAAAAATGGGTCATCATGCTTATCATTCAAAAGAAAACACACACAAAGGGGTGTTCCACAGGTCATCAACCCCAGACAGGTCCTACATAATAACCAAATAAATGAACAATTCAATAGCATTCCAAAAAGAAAGAAAAAATCACCCAAAGACCTAAAGAATCTACCGACAGACAAAATCAGTACTTGAGACATTCAGCGAGACACCTTTGCTTCAACCATCCAAAGCAATGACAAAATGTTGGTGATTGGCAGGAATTTTTGTAAAGAACCAGACAGTAAATATTTTAGGCTTTCTGGGCCACCCAGACTCTGTTGCAACTACTCAGCTCTGCCAGAGAAGCATGAGTGCAGTCAGAGAGGATGTGGACTATGTGTGGCAGCTCCCAGATGAAGCTCATGTTTTAAATCCTCTCATGAATTTGCCATTCTACAAAATTTTGTCCAGAAAAATTCTTTTAAGGCAAAAAGACATGAAGCATTCCTAAATTCATTATACCCATATGAACTTGATCTGCCCATAATGCAGTAATACTAACAGCAGGACCTGATGCTTACTGAGCACAGACTGTGTTTACGGTCACATTCGGGGTAGCACCCCAAACAGCAATGGAATGTAGGTGTTGGTGTCATCACTTCCAAAGGACTCCAACAGGGGTAAATATCCTGCCCAGTGTCACATAGGTTGTAAGGAACTAGATTATTAATCATGATGGTTTTTCCACTTTCCTTAAGTCAGAGGCTTTCTGTGGCATGAGTTTTCTCAATGTTAACAGCAAGTTAAAAAAAGTGTAAGGGCCTCCCTGGTGGCGCCAGGGGTTAAGCACAGCACTATGAAGCTATCCACAGCCACCTCAGTGTAAGTTCGATCCCCAGCCAGGGAGTTGACCCACATGGCACAGCAGATCTCTCCTGTCTTGCCCACTGCTCCCCTCAGCAGTGTAGTTCAGTCAGTCTGCCTGTTTTGTTCCCACTCTGTCTTTGGGGAATCCTCTCAGAGCTCCCCACCCCCAACCCCAGGATCTCTGGCCTGTACTCCAGTACTTATATTCATAAATAACCAATTTTTTTAAAGATTTATTTATTTATTCATACAGAACTGGGGTACAGGCCAGAGATGCGGAGGGTGAGAGGATTCACCAGAGACAGAGTGGGGAGCAGAACAGAAGGATCGAAGAAGTACACTGCTGAGGGGAGCAGCGGGCAGGTCAGGAGAGGTCTGCCACGCCATGTGGTCACCCTCCAGGGCAGGCGGGGATCGAACTCATGCGGAAGTGGCTTTGACTTCTTAGTGCTGTGCTTTAACCCGCTGTGCCACCAGGGAGGGCCACCAATTTTTTTTTAATTAAAGACATTTTCACTCTCTGAATTTTCTCCACTACAGATATTCTGATAATCCATGGAGACATGATAATAAAGGCTCATCTATGCAAAATGAAAATATAAAATTTCAAATCTAGAACACTTGGGTGAGAACTAAAATTTCTTTACATTAAGAGGGGTTCTCATCAGTATTAATAACAATGCCTTCAAAGACCTGAGTCACATCTAAAAGGCTTCCCACATTCTTTCCCTTCAAATTGTTTCTTGGTATTATAAGTCCACTGACATTTGTACATTCTCTATTGCACACTTAAGTCTTTCCACAGTCCTTACATTCATAAGGTTTCACTGCAGTATGAGTTCTTTCATGTACTTGCAAGCTTGAACTAAGCCTAAAGGACTTCCCACATTTGTCACATACAAAAGGTTTCTCATCGCTATGAATACTCTGATGTCAAGTAGTCATCTACATATATTAAAAGCCTTCTGACATTACGTGCATTCATAGAGTTTCTCACCAGCATAAATTCTCTCATGCCTAACAAGGTTTGAGGTATGACCAGAGACCTTCCTACATTCTTATACACATAGGGTGTCTCACCAGTATGAATTGTATGATACATTCCAGGCTTCCACCATGAATGAAAGCCTTTCCACCTTCTTTACATGTATGGGGTTTCTCACCAGTGTGCCTTCTCTGAGGTGGATGACTAAATGTCATCCCACACTCCTCATGAATATAAGGCTTCTATATTCACTCCTAAAATATAGGGCTTCTACCCAGTGTGAATTCTCTCATGGTGAACAAAATTTAAGACACGACAAAGGCCTTTCCACATTCCTTACAACTGTAGGGTTTCTCCCCTGTGTGAATCCTATGATGCATTCTAAGGTCCATACCACAACTGGAATTCATGCCACATTCATGGTATTCTTAGGGTTTCTCCTCAGTATAGATTCTCCAATCTATTCTAAGTCTTCCACCTTGACTAGCGGCCTTTCCACATTCATTACATACATAGGATTTCTCACAGTATGAACTCTCCATGTTGAGTAAGCTGTGAGACACAACTAAAAGCCTTTCCACATTCCTCACATTTATAGGATTTCTCACCATTTATAGGAGTTTATAGGAGTTCTCTGATGAACTCTACAACTAAAGTTCATCTATCTTACAACTAAAGTTCATTCCACATTTCTCATATTTATAGGGTTTTTCATCAGTGTGAATTCTGTGATGTTGCAGAAGGTTGAAGCACCACTAAAGGTCTTTCCCACATAGCTTACATTTAAAGGGTTTCTCACCAGTATGAATACACTGATGTCTGTATGTCATCACAGTGATAGGCCTTCTCTCTATTGTAAACTTTCTGATGTAAAGTAAGAGGTGAACATTTTTTTTAATGTGTGCTTTTTCAGAGCTGATTATTTCATGTGTTGACTCCATGAAAGAAATGAGAACATTTTGTTTTCCTGGATCATAAAAAGTGAATGTTCATATATATATTTAAAAAAAATTAAAAATACCAACCACTCAAGATGAATAATTCAGATAACTCTAAAATCA